GTGTGGGCCAGCTCCGTTGGTGAAACGTGGCTCCCATTCACGTGCCTCTCGGTGTTATTCCTCCGGGTTTACACTAGATATGGGGTGAGTGGGTGGAACTGTGGAGACTGCAGTGGCAAGCAAATTCCGGACCGGATGCCACTATTCTCATATATATATATATATATATATATATATATATATATATATATATATACATCAGCAACAGTCTATATAATAAACATTATACCATCGAGAAATCATAGCATGAATGCGAATAATAAGTACAAAAATCAAGAAAAGATAATTCGCCATAAGAATTTTTTGTGTTCTTCACGCGTCATTTTGTCTATTTGTTTGTCGGTTTACTGTTTGCGGTTTTGGTACGTCGAATGAACACAGAGGCTCATGCAAACTTTCCATTGTCTGCGATTACGCGCCTCGTTCTAAAGAGCCTCCAACCAGCGACGTTATTTATCTTTGATTCCGCAGTCCGGAAGACGTACTAAGCTGACGGCACTTAGACTGGAAGTCAGTGCTTTGATGTTTTGTCGCCATATGGTAGGTCGGTCATCGCGCGATTTCTTCAAATGCGGCGCTGCGCGAGCGAATAGTGCGCGCCTGGATAAACCCACAAAGAGCATGCATAGAACGTTACCTAGCCACTTTAGTTGGTGCAGCGATATTAGCTTGTTTAGATTGAGGCCTGTATTATCAAGGACGCGACGTTTTAAACCTTGTGTTCCCACTACACATGAGCTATCCTAGTTAGACAACCGTTGTCATAGTCTGAAATTCGACGCGAATCATTTACACGGATCGGCTAGTACTCGCTTCCAAACAACTGGACGGTTCGAATACAGACATCTTAGACCCTACCCTTTACCGAGAATGAGACGTCACGACACCACAGATACTTCAGATCAGCGAAGGCTGATCGGGCGTTGGCAATACGGGGAGAAATCTTTCTACCAATGGTGCCACCAGAAAAAAACGCAGCTTTCATGGCAGATGAAGCTATCCACTTGTTCCGGAATACTATAGCATCTAAACCATCGCAATGAGGCTGGACCTTACCGTGGTGCGATGGTTTGCGTGCCTCAGAGATCCATTGAGCTATGCTGGGTGGTGCTTTATTTTTTGCACCTTTAGAGCCACTCATACCAGATTGGTCAATGGTTAGAGGCCAGACAAACTCAGCCTCCTGGTCCTCCAGGTTGGGGGTTGGAATGGGGGTGGCTCCTCATTTCATAAAACGGGCTCTGTAGTCCAGTGCCAAAACCCGCTGCCTTGCGGTAAGGTTTTTGAACCAAAGGCTTTGGTTGAGAACCCTAATCGTTCTCCTGTCTAGGCCTGGGCAACCTGACAGTATTCTGCCCACGCAATACAATGAACCTTTCCTACAACAATTTCTTGATGCTCTGGCCGTCGCAGAGGATAATAAACGGCGCCCTATCTGCTGCATCGAGCAGGGTGGATAGGGGTTTGGATGCTACTGCTCAGGCCTTCCCGTCTTCTTATACCCCTTCTTGCGCTTCTGCATCCTTATTGTCCCGCCCCAACTTTACTTATATCCCCCCCATTTTCAATCCCCCAATTCTTGGCCCTCCCCCAGCTTACTTCAATAGTCGCTTGTCTTCTAATTTCAAATCACACACAATCGCAGGGCCTCGCTCCAATCCAGTCGATAAGTCCATGTTCAACCAAGCGGACAACGTCAGTTCATCCGTTTCCCTTTGGAGTCCTCGTGTCTCGCTAAGTTTGGCATGCCTCAACGTGCGCACTTTGCTGCAGATTGGCCAACAGGCAGCACTTGCCCGCACACTAGAGACCCTATCGATCGATATTTGCTGTTTATCAGAAACCCGCCTGCAAGATTCGAGCTCCGTGCTTACCCTGAGATCCCCCACATGCGACACTGGCGGCACATTCTCATTGCGCCTATCTGGCGATGATGCAGCTTCAAATGCCGGTCAAGCCGGCGTCGGCATTGTTTTGAGTCCCCGGGCTGAAGCTGCCCTGCTTGATTGGATCCCAGTAAACAGTAGGATGTGCGCCGTTAGATTAGCTGGCTCGTTCCGTGCTTCGAAGTCGCGCGGGGACAAACGGTGCCTGTTTGTCATTGCGGCCTACGCCCCTACAAACTGTAGCACTGATTCGGTAAAAGATGATTTCTACCAGCAACTTCACGAGCTCCTTCGTTACAGAAGAAGCACGGATACTGTGGTGCTGGCTGGCGATCTAAACGCCCAAGTCGGAAAATTGTCCTCTGATGAGCTTCATCTGGGCGGCCAACATGGTGTAGGCTCCCGTAATGATAATGGTGAGCGATTGCTCCAGCTGTGTGAAGATGCTCGCCTGTTTCTCGCGAGCACTAATTTTCGACACAGCACCCGCAGAAGTGTGACTTGGCGGCCACCAGCCTCGGGCCAGTCATGGACGCAAATCGATCATATCGCGATCAGTTACCGCTGGAGAGGCTGTGTCCAAAACTGTCGCTCGATTTGGAGCACGAGCGTGGACTCTGACCACGCACTTGTATGTGCCGACCTCCTGGTGCGTTTCGGTGGACGTCCGCGACGTCGATGTGAACGGATTGACACTAGCCAGCTGGCGAAGCCAGATGTTCTGAATGTGTACCAAGATGCGCTGACATCTGGGCTGAGTAAGCGCCCACTAAACACCGTTGAAGATCACTGGTCGCACACTCGTCAAGCGTTGCTATTAGCAGGCATGTCTTCATGTGGCAAAACAAATTGCCAAACCGGACATTGGGTCTCTACACAGTCTCTGGAACTTATGGATGCTCGCCGACGTATTCCGGCTGGAAGCGAATACAATGAAGCTCGCAAAAATCTCAGGGCGAAACTACGTGCTAGCCTAAAGAAGGACCGCGAAACCTGGTGGTCTCATCGTGCCTCTGAGATGGAAACAGCCGCTGCCATTGGTAATCATCGTAAGTTATACCGTCTGATACGGGCAACAGGCAGCAGGAGACCTGGTGTTAGCGAGACCATACGCGACGAGAGTGGGCAGATGATCCACAGCCTGTCAAAACGCTTGGAGCGTTGGGCTGAACACTTTGCTATGCAATTTAACCAACCTGAGTTATCACTTTCTTCGGGCATTGAGCGCCCTTCTCCTTGGGCCGTCTCCTTGGATCCGCCCTCACGCGCAGAAGTCGAACGTGAGATCAGGCTGTTGAAATTGCATAAGGCCGCAGGAGCAGATACTATTCCTCCAGCCCTCTTCAAGTTCGGTGGACCTGCTCTAATAGGTGATCTACACGAGTTGCTAGTAAAACTTTGGGAGCAGGAGACAGTCCCGACAGACTGAAACCGCTCCGTCATTGTCCCAATTTTCAAGGGAGGCTCCCGTTTGGTATGTGGCAATCATAGAGGGATCAGTCTGATTTCGATTGCCTCTAAATTGCTTGCCTCTCTCATTCTCCACAGACTGACTGGCACTCGTGAAAGCCAAATTCGTGAAGAGCAAGCCGGATTTCGTCGAGGTCGGGGCTGCATCGACCACATCTTCACATTGCGTCAAGTGTTGGAGCACCGCCATGTTTATTGGCGACCCACCGTTGTCGTGTTTCTTGACATAAAAGGTGCCTTCGACTCAGTCGATCGATGTGCCCTTTGGGACTGTCTGTTGAGGAAAGGTGTGCCTGATAAATATGTAAACATTATCAAAGCGCTGTACGCACATAGTTCGGGCAGGGTGAGGGTTTATGGCAAACTCTCGCCACCCTTCAGTATCACCAGCGGTGTGAGACAAGGATGCCCGCTGTCACCTTTCCTCTTCAACTTCGCTATTGATGAAGTCATGGAAACAGCGTTCGCTGGACACGACCTAGAAGGTGTGGAGCTACTCCCTGGTGAGCGACTTCTTGACTTGGAGTATGCAGACGATATTGCCCTAATCTGTGACGGCTCCCAAACATGCCAAACAGCACTGAACCGATTAGCACTGGCTGTCAGTCGTTTTGGGCTATGGTTTGCTCCATCAAAATGCAAAGTACTTCTCCAAGATTGGCAGGGACCCAATCCTGCGCTAACGCTTGGTGGTGATCTGCTAGAAGTCGTTCAGGAATTCAAGTACCTGGGCAGCTATATTAGCACCCGTGGGATTGAAGATGAGGTTACGAACCGTATAGCAAAAGCTCGAGGTGCTTTTGCCAATCTCCGCCACCTGTGGCGCAGACGCGACATTACTCTCGCCCTCAAGGGCAGAGTTTACAACGCAGCCGTCCGTTCAACTCTCCTATATGGCTGTGAAACCTGGCCCATCAGGTCGACAGACATGAAGAGACTCGTCACGTTCGATCATCGCTGCCTTCGCAGCTTAGCTCATGTCTGGTGGGAACACCGCGTGAGCAATGAGCGTGTTCGACGTCGCGTATTTGGTGCAGGAAGAGCGAGTGAACCGCTCAGCACGATTATATCACGCACCAGGCTCCGATGGCTGGGCCACGTCTTGCGCATGCCGGCACACCGACTCCCACGACGTGCATTGTTTGTTTGACCGATTTAAGCTGTCGTATCTCAGAACAAGAGACAAGTATAAATTTGGAATGAAACGCATTTTCAAAGGCATAGCAACGGTATCTGTGGCACAAAACGTAAGCGGTACATTTGTTCACACTTTGGCATTCAAACTACTATAGGTGCATTACGCTTCGGTGTAATCTCGCCGTGACAGCATCGCAAGTGGCTAATGAACGCCAACCACATGCTTAGCTTTTTTTGATCCTGTTTTCACGCTTAGTTTTTCCATATTTAAGGTAATTCGGTCCCGAATATTCCTATTCCTTACCTATCCTGATCGTCAAAATGCTCGGTTATTTATTCTCCACTGACTCGAATCGGTCTAACTTGAGAGTAGCCAACACCATTTTTATTTTTCCTAGCCTCAATTCACTCACCGTTGTCGTGCTGTGCAATACGACTTGTTCGTTTTTTTTTCTCATACACGCTATTTTATTTTACGAACTAACCCCATATTTTTCATCACTCCAGACCACTTACCCAGCTGACCACTTACTTAAACGATTTCCCCGGCAAAGTTTTCCTCAGCTCCAGCCGTCAGTTGCCTCGGTGAGTTTGATATACTTCTTCATGAGCGCTACCTATTTCGATTATGCCGCTAATCAGGCAACGATAGGCAGTTGATCTTACGCGACTGTCTACGTTGTTGACCAAATTCACCAACTTATTTGTCTACTAAATGTTCGGATTTCAAACCCCCTCAATTCGTTCACTTTGAACCCTCTTACTCACTGCGCACTACCACCAAATAACATTTTTTATTCTAATACCCAATGATTATCCATTTTTTCCACCATTTCTTTTGCTGGAGCCATTATATCTTAACGCACAACAGAGCCCAGTTGTTTCAAGGCGGCACACCACCCATGTCCATGAATACTAGATGTGTGATAAAATTAAATCTGCATCCTTCCTCACCTTTTTTCTTATTCCCGCCATTGTAAATATCCTTTGCTATTACCCAAACTGGATCTCCTTACGACGTTTATGCGCTTTAAAAATCGCCACATTGTATCACGGAAACATGGTGCGCATCCGCTATATCTGACTTTCAATTAAATGTTCTGGTTTATCAGTTGTTTCGGAAGAATCGTCTGCGCAAACGCGGTGATGGATGTGCCATCTACATACACCATGGCATAACATCAGTCTCAACTAACCAGTTAGCTTTCAATGGTTTCGACGATTCATTATGGTTAACTATTCCAGATTATGATCTGCTACTGGACTGCACTTATAAGACCTCCTGATACCGCTCTCCATGAAGCACAGCAGTTAATGTCTGCCATCGATGCTGCTTCCAGCACTCCACACAATTACAAATTCATATACGGAGATTTCAATTTGCCAAATACAAATTGGATGTTGCATAGGCCTACAACAACTGGAAGAGTTGCGGAGATAATCCAGTGTGTATGTACCAATGGTTGGACCCAATGTTAAAGTCTACACGTGCAGAACTAACACAAACCTTCGAGCGCAGTACCGCAAGAGCAACAGATCATACCGAGCTGGCAGCACGTAACATGTATTCTGGCGAGATCGTTTACAAATCACCATCGCAATGAGGCTGGACCTTACCGTGGTCCGATGGTTTGTGTGTCTCAGTGATCCATTGAGCTATGATAGGTGGTGCTTTTTTGCACCTTCAGAGCAACTCGTACCAGATCGGTCAATCGTTAGAGGCCAGACAAACTCAGCCTCCTAGTCCTCCAGGTTGGGGGTTAGAATGAGGATGACTACTTATTCCTTAAAACGGACTCCTTGTAGCCCAACGCCAAATCCGCTGCTTTGCAGTCAGGTTTTTGAACCAAAGGTTTTGTTTGAGATTCCTAATCGTTCTCCTGTCTAGACCTGGGCAACCTGACAGTCTCTTGCCCACGCAACACACCATGACTTTTCCTTCTAACAATCTCTTGATGTTCTGACCCCCGCAGAGGATAATCAACGGTGCTCTATCTGCTGCATCGACCAGGGAGGATAAGGGTTTGGATGCTACTGCTCAAGCCTTCCCGCCTTCTTATTCCCCCTCACGCTTTTTCTCCCTTCTGGTCCCGTTCCAACTTTACTTTTATCCCCCCCCCAGTTTTCAACCCCTCGATTCTTGGCCTTCTCCCATCATGTTTTCCTAGGTGTTTATCTTCTAGTTTCAACTTATGCAAACGCGGAGCGTCACTCCTGTCCTGTCGACAAGCCTATATTCAACCATGCGGTCAAGCCCAGTTCATAGGCTTCCATTTGGAGCCCTTGATCTTCCTTCAGATTGGCATATCTCAATGTTCGCACATTACTACATATCGGTCAACAGACAGCACTTGCTCGAACTTTTGGGATCCTCTCCATCGATATCTGCTGCTTATCGGTTAAAAGACCCGCCTGCAAGACTCGAGCTCTCTGCTCACTCTGCGATCCCCTTCAGGTGACAGCAGCAGCACTTTCTCATTGTGCCTATCCGGTGACGATGCAGCTTCGAGCACCGGCCAAGCTGGTGTTGACATTGCCCTGAGTCCCCGGGCTGAAGCTGCTCTGGTTGATTGGACCCCAGTCAATAGCCGGATGTTTGCGGTCCGATTTGCTGACTCCTTAAAAGCTTCGAAATCGCGCGGGACTAATAGGTGTCTATTCGTCATCGCTGCCTATGCAGTCACAAACTGTAGCGATGATTCGGTAAAGAAAACGACATCTACTGCCAACTGACTGAGCTCCTTCGCCACAGAAGAAGCACAGACACTTTGTGCTAGTGGGAGATCTGAACGCACAAGTTGGAAAGTTGTCCACTGATGAAATGCATCTGGGCGGTCAACACGGTGTAGGCTCGCGTAATGATAACGACGAGCGGTTACTGCATTTGTGTGAAAATGCTGGCTTATTTTTTGCGAGCACTAACTTCCGACCCAGCACCCGCCGGAGGGTGACTTGGCGCCCACCAACCTCGAACCAGCTATGGACGCAAATCGATCACATTGCAATCAGTTACCGCTGGAGGGGCTGCATCCAGAATTGTCGCTCCATTTGGAGCACATGTGTGGACACCGACCATGCACTTGTATGTACTGACTTGCGGTTGCATTTTGGCGGACGCCCACGACGACACTGTGAGCGCATTGACACCAGCCAACTGACGAAGCCAGCTGTTCTGAATTCCTATCAAACTACGCTGACATGTGGGTTGAGTAAGCGCTCACTGGAGACAATTGAGGGTCACTGGTCGCATGTTTACCAGACCTTACTAGCAGCAAGCAAATCGTCATGTGGTAAGTCTAATAACCAACATGGACATTGGGTCTCTTCGCGACCACTAGAACTTATCGATGCTCGTCAGGATATTCCGGCTGGAAGCGAATACAATGAAACTCGCAGAAAGCTCCGGGCAAAACTCCGTGCTAGCCTGAAGAGAAACCGCGAATTCTGGTGATGTCTTCCTTCGTCAGAGATGGAAGTGGCCGCTGCCCTTGGTAACCATCGAAAGTTATTCCTTCTGATACGGGAAACGGGCAGCAGGAGATCTGATGTTGGTGAAACAATCTGTGACGAGATTGGACAGCCTATCCACAATTTGTTAAAATGTTTCAGAGCGTCGGGCTGGGCATTTTGAAAAGCAATTTAATCGGCCGGAATTTTTCGATTCCTCACCGGCCAGTGATCGCTTTGCTCCTTGGGCTGTCCCTTTGAATCCGCCCTCGCTCAGAAATCAAACGTGAGATCGGACTGTTAAAGTTGAACAAAGCCAGACCTTTTACTGTTTCGGGGTCTCTGCTCTTGTTGATGATTTACATGAATTACTGATGAAACTGTGGTAGCATGAAACTGTCCCTACCGATTGGAGCCGCTCCGTTATTGTCCCCATCTTCAAAGGAGGTTTGCACTCAAAATGAGGCAACCATAAAGGAATCAGTCTGATCACCATCGTCTCCAAATTATTTGCATTGTAATCCTTCACAGATTAACTGGCGCTCGTGAAAGCCAGATTCGTGAGAAGCAAACCGGGTTTCGTCGGGGTCGTGGCTTCATGGACCACATCTTCACTTTGCGTCAATTGTTTAAGCACTGTCACACATATTGGCGGCCCACCGTAGTCGTGTTTTTCGACATCAAAGATGCCTTCGATTCGGTTGATCGATGTGCCCTTTGGGACTGTTTACTCACTAATGGTGTGCCTGAGAAATATGTGAATATTATCCGAGCATTATACGCGTGTAGCACGGACAGAGTGAGGGCTTACGACAAGCTGGCGCCGCCCTTCAATATCTCCAGCCGTATGAGAAGGATGCCGGTTGTCACCTTTCCTCTTCACTTTCGCTACTGATGAAGTCATGGAGATCGCATTTACAGGACACGACTTAGAAGGTGTGGAGCTACTTCCAGAAGAACGACTTCTTGACTTGGAGTATGCAGATGACATTGCCCTCATCTGTGACGGCTCCCAGACATGCCAAGCTGCACTGGACAGATTAGCACTGGCTGTCAGCCGCTTCGGACTTGGCTTTGCATCATCGAAATGCAAAGCTTTCCTCCAAGATTGGCAGGGATCGCCTCCTACGCTGACCCTTGGTGGGAATCAGCTAGAAGTGGTTCAGAAATTCAGCTACCTGGGAAGTTGTATCAGCGCCCTTGGGATCGAAGAAGAGATCACGAACCGTATAGCAAAAGCTCGAAGTGCTTTTACTGACCTTCGCCACCTATGGCGGCGGTGCGACATCACTCTCGCCCTGGAGAGTAGAGTATACAATGCAGCGATAGGTTCGAACTTACTGTACGGTTGCGAAATCTGGCCGCTAAGATCGGCGGACTTAAAGAGGTTAGTTACGTTTGACCATCGGTGCCTTCGCAGTTTGGCTCACATCTGATGGAAACACCGCGTGAGCAACGAGCTTGTTCGACGCCTTGTTCACAGCGCCGGAAAAAGAACTGAACCGCTCAGCATTGTCATTTCACGCACCAGGCTCCGATGGTTGGGCCACATGTTGCGCATGCCAGCCTATCGACTCCCGCGACGTGCGTTGTTTGCGCGCTGGGGGTGTGGATGGAAGAAGAAGTGAGGTGGCCAAGCGATGACTTGGTCTAGGGGAATGGAGGCCCTTACTTCGGAGCTGGCCTCGGTTGGAGCATCACGGCTCCGTGGTTGGGGACCAAAAGACGATGAATACGTTTGACTAGATACATTTGCTGACATGGCTAGGAGCCGACCTATGGCGTTCCTGCTGTGAGGTTTTTTTGTCCTACCTCATCCCTCTTAGCCTCCCCCTCCAGCCACGATCTCATTTCGTAGCATAATATAATTTTACCTAATAATTTTTCTTTTTGTCTAGTAGCCGGCTAATAGCTTACCGGAACGATGGCTATCCGTTGCTGGTAGCTCAGCTGGCATGCAACTGTTGTATTTATTTTCTTTTTTCTTTTATGTATTGCGGCACACTAGCTGAGGTGTTTTACCCCTTAGCTAACGTGTATAATGACGATGATGATGATGTGTACAGATCAAGTAACTGAGGCCAAACCACTAGTGAATGGGTAATCAGAAGACAGATATACACGCGCACAGTCAATGT